TCTACCATGTCGACACCCACCTCACACGTTTCGTGGCCCCATAGGCAGCTCCACCGAAGGTCCCAGTGCTACCGCCCGCATGCGTCCCCCCCACCCAGTCCAGTGTTTCGTGGCCCCATAGGGAATTCCACCGAAGGTCCCAGCGCTACCACCCGCATGCGTCCCCCCAGTACAGCGTTTCGTGACCCCATTGGGAACTCCACCGACGGCCCCAGTGATACCGCCTGCATGCGTCCCCCCACCCAGTACAGCGTTTCGTGGCTTCATGAAGGGGGCTCCACCAAAGGTCCCAGCGCTACCGCTTGCAGGCGCCCCCCCACCCAGTACAGCGTTTCGTGACCCCATAGGGAATTCCACCGAAGGTCTCAGTGCTACCGCCCGCATGCGCACTCCCCGTTTTGTGGTGCCATCGGGAACTCCACCGACGGCCCGGTGCTACCGCCCACATGCGTCCCCCCCACCCAGTGCAGCGTTTCGTGGCCCCATAGGGAGCTCCACCGACGGCCCCAGTGCTACCGCCCGCATGGTACAGCGTTTCGTGGCCCCATGGGGAGCTCCTCCGAAGGTCAAACTGCTACAGTCCGCATGCGTCCCCCCACCCAGAAAAGCGTTTCGTGGCCCCATTGGAAGCTCCACCGACGTCAGTGGCACCGTCCGTATGTGTGTCCCTCACCCAGTACAGCATTCCGTGGCCCTTTGTAGGGAACTCCTCCGAATGCCCAGTTGCACTGTCCGCGTGCGTCTCCCCTACCCAGTACAGCGTTTCGTGGCCCCATAGGGACCTCCACCGAAGGCCTCAATGGCACCGTCCGCATGCGTCTCCCCTGACCAGTACATCGTATCGTGACCCCATTGGGAACTCCTCCGAAGTCCCCACTGGAACCGTCCGCATGCGTTTCCCCCACCCAGTACGGCGTTTCGTGGTCCCATAGGGAACTCCACCGAAGGCCCCAGTGGCAAAGTCCACATGCGTTTCCCCCACCTAGTAAAGCGTTCCTGGCCCCATAGGGAACTCCACCGAAGGTCCCATTGGCAAAGTTCGCATGCATTCTCCCATCCAGTACAGCGTTTCGCGGTCCATGTGGAGCACCACCGCAGGCCCCAGTGGCAACGTTTGCATGCGCCCCCCCCCCCCCACACAGTACAGCGTTTCGCGGCCCATAGGGGAGCTCCACCGAAGATGACACCCACAACTGCGGTACTGACACCTCCATTTGGTTGGGTCCTTCGCCAGGCTGATTTTATCCATCACTTCTCGAAAGCAAGCTCCCAACCCAAAGGGGAGAACCACCTCCCAACTCCTCCGACGTCGCAATGTTTTCACGACGTGGGCTCCGCAGCTCCGGACCCGTCCCGCCCAGGACTGCTTTTTCGTCGTGGAGAAGGTCCCTCCCCTCTCAAGGGGTCGAAATCGCGAACCATAGCGCTGGCCGATTTTTTCCAGGGGGCGACGCCTAGAGGTCTTGGTTTCTTTCCTTTTCCTGCTTGCCCTCCAGAAGCGGGCCCGACGAAAAGGTGAAGGGGATGGAGGGGCGGGCGAAGACTGCTGCGTGCAGCTGGTGTCGTGCCCGAGGCGCCAGGCGAACCAGCTGCCCGCAGCCGATTCGCCAACGTCCCCTTTCCTCAGTTGTCTACGGTGGTAGACAAGGACAGCAGTAGAGTCCCACAGGGGGGACGGGCAGCCCTGGACCGCCCAGCCCGGCAGTCGTTCTGCTCGAGACGTCCCCACAGTTCATTGCGAAGTCCTTACGGCCGGTGCCGCCGACCCTGAAGGGAGGAGACGACGACGACGACGACGACGACGACGACGACGACGACGGCGACGGCGACGACGACGACGACGACGGCGGCGGCGGCGACGCTGACGACGACGACGACGACGCCGACGGCGGCGGCGGCGACGACGACGACGACGACGACGACGGCGGCGGCGGCGGCGGCCGCGGCGGCGGCGGTGGCGGTGATGTGGGCCAGACTCCTCAGGGATGGTTCTAGGGGTCTCTTCGGAAGTCTCTTGGGGGCCTCTGGGGAGGAATTTTTGGGCCTCTTGGGAGCCTCTTGGGGGCCTCTTGGGGGCCTCCTCGGGCTTCCTGGGGACCTCTTGTGCGCCTCTTGGGGCCTCTGGGGAACCTCTAGGGGCCTCCTGGTAGCCTCTTGGGGCCGAGGGCTCGAAATGTCCGTTCGGGTCCCCCGTCTGGGCACGCTCTTGGAGCCGTCTTGGGGGCATCTGGGGCCGTCTTGGAGGCGTTTTGGGTGGTCTTGGGGTCCTCTTGGGCTGTCTGGGGACCTTCTTGAAGGTCTCTTGGGCCGTCTTGGGGAGATCTTGGGGGCCTCTGGCGCCGTTTTGGAGCGGCGGGAAGTGGAAAAGGCGAGAACGCCCAAATCTTAAAATAGCCAGCGGCAAATCAATGAATTTGGCCTCTTGGGGCCCTCTCGGGAGTGCTCTTGGAGGCGTCCTGGGGCGTCCTGGAGGCCTCCTGGGCAGTCTGGAGGGCGTGAAGGCGTTTTGGACCGATCGTTTGGCGATTAGGGACCCTCTTGGACCGTCTCGGCGGCCTCTTGGGACACTCTTTGGCCTGTCTTGGTACTTTCTGAGGACCCAGGGCCCCCAGGGGGGGGAACGTATCTGGGCGAGGACCCCCCCCGAGACCACCCCGGACCCCCCCCCCCGGCGCGGGGAAGGGACCAAAAGGAAGGGGCTTCCCTTCGACTCGATTACGACATTGCTAAATTTTTCCCTCGCTGACAAGCTTGAGGAGGAGGGTGCAGGGAAAGGGGACGACGGAGACGTCGACTGACGGAGACGACGACTCGAACAGCCAAACCCCCACACACGCCGACAGGGTCGGCGGATTTAGGAATTGGGCTCTCGCCTGAATGTCGGCTACATGTTTGGTCCAGGCGGCCATGATCCATTATCAAACATACACCAAGGCGCATGTGGCCGTGCTCTCACCCTTGTCCTGGCTGCATCTTTTCCTTCTCGGGCCTTCCCGTATTTCACCTTCCCCCTTGCTTCGCAGAAAAGCAACCTGCCCAAAGATAAGCTTTCGGTGGTCCGCGCGGACTTCTTTGATCTGCGCTGTACCTCCCTGGCGGCGCCGCCAGCGCCCCCCCTGGCGCGCTCGGCGCTACAGGGAAGGGGGGCCCCGCGCAGATCCAAGAAACCAGCGCGGATCCTCGATAGTTTAGGTTTATGCCTTTCTTTCCTCCTCCACTTCGTTCGGATGCAACTCCTGGGAGGTCAAATTCTGTTTTCGCCCTGGTCCGAAATCCGGCTTAATTCGGCTTATAATCCAGCTCAATCCCGCTTAATCCGGCTTAATCCCGCTTAATCCCGCTTAATCCGGCTAAATCTCGCTTAATCCGAGGCCCACTCCGGCGTAATAGCTCCCAAATGAGGCTTCATCCTCCTGAATCTTTCTGACGAAGACCTTCCAGTAGTTGCCTCCTACAGTCGGGGCGCTGAAGAAGGAGCCCTTTTTGTTTGGGAGGGGCTCAGTGCTCCTTAGTTGTTCTACAGTTCGCCTTTGGCATGCCTCTGGTTTTCGATGGGACATCGAAGCTTAACTTATGGAAGAAAGGGGCCTCGTTCCTTATTTTGGGGTTCCTTAGGTCAACGCCCCAACTGTAAACTTCTTCATCCGGCCTGGCAGCGAGAGGAGCAGGCGGCGGCGGCGGCCCGCCCGTTGGAGCAGCTGCCTCGAGCGGCTCCCCTGGCGGAGAGGCCGCGCCCGGGCCGGGGAGACGGCCGGGGCCAGCGGCCCCCTCCGGCGCGAGTGCCCTCCAGGGACGGGGGGGGGGCCCAGAGGGGGGGCGTGGGGGTGGGATGGGGGGTAATCAGGTGGGCGGGGCCCAGGGGGGCTTGGGGGGTGCCCCGTGGCCCAAGTGCAGCCAGAACCAGTGGCCCCCTCCGACGCTTCTGCGCTCCGGGGAGGGTTAGTGGGGGTCAGTGGGAGGGGGCGGGAGGGGGAGGGAGGGAAGGGCGGAGAGGAGGCGGGAGGAGTGGACGAGAGGCGGGGAGGAGGGACGAAAAGGTGGGAGGGAGGGGCGGAGGGATCTTTGGGGGGAGGGATTGATGAAGTGTGGTAGGGGCGGGGGGAAGGGAGGTCAGGGGGGAGGTGAGGCGAAATGAGGGATCGAAGAGGAATGGGGGTCAGGTGTGATAGGACTCCCAAGAGAGGCAGTTGTTCACTGGCCCGCGGTCCCCTGGGGCCCCAGCGAATTCCCATGCAAACAGATGGCCTGCAAGCACTACCTTGGCAAACGGGGACCTGGCACATCGTTCACGTCCCCTGGAGACTTGGGGCCCCATGGGGCGCGGGGCCCCATGGGGTGGTGCGTCGGTGTGCAGCTTTCCCCTGCGGCGAGGGAGCTCTCAGAGGGTTCAAAGGCTGGAGGGGGTGTGGAGGGGCGATGCCCGGGTCCCGGCCGGCACCTGGGGCCCGTGCTCCGAGGGCCTCCGGCGAGGGAGGCGCTGCGGAGGCGGCGGCGCCCCAGGTCTGCTGCTTTCCGCTGTCGAGGCTCCGTCCGAGGGAGGATGAGGATGAGGATGAGGATAAGGATGAGGACGAGGACGAGAACGATGATGATGCTGCTGATGAGGATGCTGATGATGATATTGATGATGGTGCTGATGATGCTGATGATGTTGATGCTCATGATGATGCTGATGATGCTGATGATGCCGCTGATGATGAAGTTGTTGATGATGCTGCTGATGATGGTCACGATGATGCTGCTGATGATGATGACGATAACGATGCTGATGATGATGATGATGCTGATGGTACCGATGACGATGCTGATGATGATGATGATGACGATGAGTTGACGATGACGATGATGATGGTGATGGTGATGCTGCTGCTGATGATGCTGATGATGCTGATGCTGATGCTGCTGATACTGATTATGATGCTGATGCTGATGCTGATGATGATGGTGGTGGTGGTGATGATGCTGCTGATGATGATGCTGATGCTGATGCTGATGATGCTGATGCTGATAATGATGATGATGCTAAACATGATGATGCTGCTGCTGATGATGATGCTGATGATGATTATGATGATGATGGTGATGATTATGCTGCTGCTGCTGATAATGATGATGATGCTGTTGCTGATGATAATGATGATGACGATGCTGATGCTGATGCTGCTGCTGATGACGACGCTGATGATGATACAGATGATGATGATGATGATGATGATGATGATGATGACGATGATGCTGATACTGATGACGATGATGATGACACTGCTGCTGATGATGCTGATGACAGTGATGTTTATGATGACGATGCTGATGATTATGATGATGATGCTGATGCTGCTGCTGATGATGATGATGCTGGTGATGATGCTGATACTGATTATAGTGATGATGAAGATGATGATGCTGATGATGGTGGTCAGGATGATGGTGATGGTGATGATGCTGCTGATGATGATGCTGATGATGCTGATGATGATGCGGATGGTGATAAAGTTGATGATGATGATGCTGAATATGATGATGCTGCTGTTGATGATGATGATGATGATGATGATGATGATGCTGACGCTGATGGTGATTACGATGATGATGGTGATGATGATGCTGCTGATGATGCTGATAACGCTGATGCTGATGATTATAATGATGACGATGCTGATGCTGATGATGCTGCTGATGATGATGCCGATGATGATGCAGCTGAGGATGATGATGATGATGATGATGATGATGATGATGATGATGATGAGGATGATGATGATGATGGTGATTATGCTGATGATGAGGTTCATTATGATGTTGCTGATACTGATTATTATGATGATGACACTGCTGCTGATGCTGATGATGATGCTGATGACAGTGATGCTGATGATGATGATGATGCTGATGCTGGTGCTGATGCTGATGATGGTGATGCTGATGATGATGATGCTGATACTGCTTATGACGATGATGAAGATGATGAAGATCAAGATGAAGATGAAGATGAAGATGAAAATGATGATGATGATGATGATGATGATGATGATGATGATGATGATGATGATGATGATGATGATGACGATGATGATGATGCGGCTGCTGATGCTGATGATGCTGATGAGGATGATTATGCCGACGATTCTGATCATGATGCTGCTGCTGATGCTGCTGATGATGCGGATGAAGTTGATGATGGCGCTGCTGACGATGCTGACGATGATGATGTTGATGCTGATGCTGATGCTGATGATGATGCTGATGATGCTGATGCTGATGATGCTGATGCTGATGCTGATGCTGCTGATGATGATGCTGATGCTGACGATGATGATGATGATGATGATGATGATGATGATGATGATACTGATACTGATGATGATGATCATGATTATGATTGTGGTGGTGGTGGTTATGATGAAGTTGATGAGGCTGACAATGATGCTGCTCATGATGATGATGATGATGATGATGCTGATGCTTATGCTGACGCTGATGAGGTTGATGATGATGACTATGCTGATGATGAAGATGCTGATGATGATGCTGATGATGATGATGATGCTGATGCTGATGCTGATGCTGATGCTGATGCTGATTCTGATCTGATGCTGATGATGGGGATGATGATGACGATGCTGACGACGATGATGATGATGATGATGATGATGATGATGATGATGGTGCTGTTGATGATGATGACCATGATGATGAGGATGATGATGAGGCTGATGATGAAGATGATGATGAGGATGATGATGAGGATGATGATGCTGATGATGCTGATGATGATGATGATGAGGATGCTGATGAGGATGATGATTAGGACGATGATGAGGAGGATGGTGAGCAGGATGATGACGAGGATGATGACGAGGATGATGATGAGGATGATGAGGATTATGATGATGCGGATGGTGATGATGATAATGATGATGATGAGGATGAGGAGGATGATGTTGATGATGATGATGCTGATGATGATGATGATGATGATGATGATGATGGTGGTGATGGTGATGCTGGTGCTGATGTTGATGCTGATGATGAGGATGATGGTGATGATGATGATGATGATGATGATGATGATGATAATGCTGATGCCGATGCTGATGATGATGATGATGCTGATGATGATGCTGATGATGATGATGATCATGATGGTGGTGGTGGTGGTTATGATGATGGTGGTGGTGATGATGATGATGCTGATGATGATGATGATGATGGTGTTGGTGGTGATGATGATGATACGGATGATAAGGATGATGATGCTGATGATGATAATGATGATGAGGATGATGATGGCGATGATGATGATATAAGGATGATGATGATGATGATGAGGATGATGCGGATGATGATGATGAGGATGAGGATGATGAGGACGACGGGGATGATGAGGATGATCAGGGTGCTAACGATGATGATGAAGATGATGATGATGATAATGAGGATGATGAGGATGATGACGCTGATGATGATGATGCGGATGATGAGGATGATGAGGATGCTGAGGATGATGAGGATGCTGATGAGGAGGATGATGAGGCTGATGATGATGAGGATGGTGATGATGAGGATGATGCTGAATATGATGATGACGATGATGATGCTGATGATGATGACGATGAGGATGATGATGACGATGATGATGAATGTGACGATGATGATGATGATGATGATGATGGTCGTGGTGGTGGTGTTGGTTGTGATGATGATGCTGATGATAACGCTGATGATGCTGACGATACTGATGATGCTGCTGATGCTGATGCTGATGCTGATGCTGATGATGCTGATGATGATGATGCTGATGATGTTGCTGCTGATGATGATGATGATGATTATGATGATGATGATGATGCTGATGCTGCTGATGATGATGATGATGATGATGATGGTGGTGGTGGTGGTGGTGCTGGTGTTGGAGATGATGATGCTGATGAGGCTGATGATGCTGATAATGATGAGGATGATGCTGCTGATGATGATGATGCTGATACTGAAACCATGATCATGATGATGATGATGCTGATGATGGTGATGATGATGCTGATGATGATTATGTTGGTGATGATGTTGGTGATGACGACGACGATGACGATACTGATGATGTAACTGTTGCCGATGCTGATGCTGCTGCTGATGATGCTGATGATGCTGATGATGCTGATGGTGATAATGATGCTGATGCTGCTGCTGCTGCTGATGATGATGATGATGATGATGATGATGATGATGCTGATGATGATGATGATGATGATGATGATGATGATGATGATGATGATGATGATGATGATGATGATGATGATGATGATGATGACCAGATGATGACCAGATGATGAGGGTGAGGAGGAGGAGAGAGGAAGGAGGAGGAGGAGGAGGAGGAGGAGGAGGATGAAGTGGATGGTGAGGAGGAGGAGGAGGCGGAGGAGCAGGCGCAGGAGGAGGAGGAGCAGGAGGAGGAGATGCAGGAGCAGGAGCAGAGGAAGGAACAGGAGCAGGAGCAGGAGCAGGAGCAGGAGCAGGAGGAGGCGGAGGAGGCGGAGGAGGCGGAGGAGAAGGAGAAGGAGGAGGAGGAGGAGGACCAGTGTAAAACCAAGAGTCACCAACGATGTTGGAATAAACCCTCCTTCCAAGCTCTCTCTTCATGGCCCCTACAACGGTTCATTTCCATTGAAGGACCTGCCTCTCTGGAAGACAACCGTTTGAGGACCCTGAAGCATGCCAAAACGTTGTTCTCTCGATTCCGACGCCACGGATCAACCTGACTGTTGCGTCTTGGCAGTCCTGATTCGTGCCAGAACACCATTCCTGGGATTTCAATACAGCGAATGCACACATAACTATTGCGCCCGCACGACCCGCCCTGATTCCGTGACATTCTTGCAAATTGTTAATGCGTGCGCGGCCGCAAAGCGAGAGCCACATGTTGAAAGCGACCCGCCCTCATTCCGTGAAGCTCTTGCAAATTTTTGAAACGAATGTGCGCCGCGCTAAAGCGAGAGTTACATTTTGAAAACGACCCGCCCTCCATCAATGAAACGGTTGCCACTTTTTCAGCTTCAGAGGCATCAGTGGTGAGGAAGTCTCAGCAGGTTTCGTGCCCCTCCCTCACCTCCTGAAAAAGGCTTCGCCAGAGCGTCAAGAAGGTACCCCCAGAGGCCCTGTCAGAGCTCCAGGCAGCACCGCACATGGGACTTGCCAGGCAAATCATTGAGCATCCCCCGCGAACCCGAACCTTGTGCTCTCACGTGTGCGATCATCGCCGGCATGAGTTTTGGCGTCCAGCACAAAAAAGCTTCCCCACTCCCGTGGACGGATTCTTCGACAACAACTGGTTGCAGAGAAGGGCGCTGATGACGAGGACATCTGCGCTCGCCCTCTGCTGATACCCGACAGCTGAACGACCGCGGACAAAGAGAAGCCTGGAACACAATGAGGAGGAACAGAAAGCAACGCGCTCCCACGCGCGCGCAACGAGGCCCCGAGCCAAACCCGACATCAGGAGCCGGCGGATGTCAGCGTGATCGGGCATGGGGAGACCGAACAGGTGTACGCAAACATTGCGTGTCACGCCGGGCAGAGCGGAAGCGAAAATGGAAGAAAACGCAGATCGACAAACCAAACAAAGGCGGCGGCGAGATTGCGAGATGCGCGGGAACGTGGCGCCCCGCGTGCTGACGGCGCGTTTCTTTGCGTCGATGGCATGGGCACGAGAACGCTGGAAGTCGTCGTTGTGGCCACAGCGGGGCTTGCAGCGGCACCTGTGGCTCATCTGCGACTAGAACCTAAGCGGGCGCGTAGCGCGCGTGGTTCTAGTATAATGTTACGACGAGTAGTAATGACAAGACGAAAAACACGAATGCGACTTACGGTAATTAAATTAAGTGCGAATGCTGATAATACCAATGATACCAATAACAATACAGATCGATGGTTCAACAGTGAACGAAAACGAGGACGAACAGTAAACATACGAATCAGAAGACTGATAATACTACTCATAGTCATACTTGTATTTTACGGAAAATAGTACTACTCATACGTTTTTTAGTGCTAGTAGTAATACGACTACTAGTACTAGTACTAATAATTCCGACAATGGAACTATTACTAAAACGATTAATGGTAATCATGCTAGTACCACCAATAATAAGGTCTCTAGTATTATTCATAATAGTATTATTAATGATCATGCTATGGGTAATAAAGACATCACTAATTGCATTATTATGGGTAATACTATTGATAATAACAATCGTGGTGCTAATGCTAGTTCTGAGAATCATACGAGTAATGCTACCAATACACATAGCAACACTAAGAATAAAACACGAATGATAAAACCAAATTCAACAACACTGTTAATACTAATGCTGTTGTTACTAATGCTAATACTACTACTGGGAGAAAGGAGGAGGAGGAGGAGGAGGAGGAGGAGGAAAAATATGAGGAGTAGGGGGAGGAGGGGGAGGAGGAGTAGGAGGAGGACGACCAATATGAGGAGGACGACGAGGAGGATCATGGTGGTGGCGATGATGATGATGATGATGCTGATGCTGATGCTGATGACGATGCTGATGATGATGATGATGAGGATGATGACGATGATGATGCTGATGATGATGATGATGATGACGCTGATGATGATGATGCTGATGATGATGATGATGCTGATGATGATGATGATGATGCTGATGATGATGATGATGATGATGATGACGATTATGATGATGTTGAAGATGATGATGCTGATTATGATGATGACGATGATGCTGCTGCTGATGATGATGCTGATGATGATGATGAGGATGATGGTGGGGGTGGTGGTGATGTTGATGATGATGATGGCGATGATGATGTTGATGCCGATGCTGATGATGATGATGACGATGATGATGATGATACTGATGATGATGATGATGATGATGTTGTTGTTGATGATGATGATGATGATGAGGATGAGGATGATGAGGCTGATGATGATGATGATGCTGATGCTGATGATGATGATGATGATGATGATGATGATGATGATGATGATGATGATGATGATGATGATGATGATGATGATGATGGCGACGGTGATGACGATGAGCACCCTCCGACTGGAACGCAAGCAGTGCACAACGCACAGAACAATGATGCTGATGATGATGATGATGATGATGATGATGATGATGATGATGATGATGATGATGATGATGATGACGATGAT